CTCTGTCTCATCAGTAATTTCAGCCACTGATTAGATTGTTTTAACACATTTTTTGTTTTCTTTTTACCCAGAAAAAAATCATCACTACAAGATGAGGGGTGGCATCAAACTGTTGATAAAAATTAGACCTTTCATATTATGTAACTTCTGATCACCCACCCATCCCACGTGACCCTTGATAGTTTACTGGAAATGCAACTTTTCTTCCGTAAATCATCACTAAAAAACCTGAACATCCAGGATGCCAAACAAACTCTGAATTCATCAAGCTAATATTACTAATATCTGTGTTTTACAGACCATCTCAGGACTGAAATTCTAGTATTTAGACGATTACTTAAAACAAATATATGTGTGTCTCTGTATGTTTCACTGATACAGTTTATGAATAGAGCTTGCTGCTTTCATCTCGAGCCTTTCATCGATATGAGGCAACTTATGGCTTCAAAAAATACCACATGACACAGTGATGACCAAAACGCCACAATTCAGAGTTTAAAATGTGGAGTCCCAATCCAGTGGGAGATATCACTGTGACTATGTCTGTGTTTTATACTCTCTATGGGTCAAACAACAATATATCAGTCCTGCTGTTTGCCACTTCTCAGCACCACTTTTCCTGGTCAGTCAGCAACAGAACGGTTTGGAAACAAATCAATTTTCCAGAAGTAATGAAATGTTTTTCTTCAACTAATAGCAGCAGCACTATACTTGATCCACTTGTGTATTGGGGTTTAAAAAACAAAACTAATGACTGGATATGTGTTTGCCTTGCGAGCACAGTTTTAGTTTAGGAGTCAAATGTAATCATTTAGTTCTTAAAAATATGAAAATAAAGTGATTGAGTTATAAGCAGACTGTCCTGGGACAAAAGAAACTGATTGTTACAGTTATTATGGTACTACTTTATCTTAAAGGCGGTTTAAATACCATCTCAGCAATAAGGTCCAATTGGAGACGAGAGAGGGTGTCATTGTAATCCTCAACCAGAAGAGGATATGAAACAAGCGCAAGTATAAAAATATGAATTACTATTACGATTTACATATAGACATTATACATGTTCTATATGGACATTAATAACAACATAAACAACACAAACTATACAATAATACTTTGACAGATGGATCAGCATCAACAGGCTGTCAGTAATAACACCTCATTGCATTACATCCATAACAGCCAATCTCAACATAATCAACATAACATGATGTTTAATTCCTTTCAACTTTGATCCTTAATCGTTGCTCATGTTTTACTATTTCTGTGTTTACATTAGATGTGAGTTTTTATGCACCTCCCCCAAAATTTGGAAGCTGCATTATTTTCTATGTTATATTTCTACTGTGAAGGAAGTTCAACACAGCCCGGCTTCCTTTGAGGCAGTTGGCTCGACAAAACCTAAAACCTCATATAGTGATAACCGATATCAGGGCAGCTATCAGTTATTATCAGTGTTAAGCTTTGAGTTCTCCTTCAGGCTAGTTAAAAACGGGTGTTTAATGATCTCTATGAGTGCTGGCTACTCCAGCCAGAGACATTACCAGATAATGATGATGAAAGGGTGATTAAAGTCTGTAAAGAACATAAAATTTAATTTATTATTCATTTAATTCATTGTAACTACATAAGAGCCCAGCAGCAGCACATAGGTACACTGAAGCCCGGTGATTTGCTGGGGGGGGAAGTAAAATAAAAAATCAAGATCACTTTCCTGAATAAAAAGGATTCCATGACATTGCTCTGGAAAATAAACTTTGTGGATCTTGAACATGTAGCTTGTACATGTACATTAAACCCATAGTTTTATTGAATATATTGTTTGCATTCATGCTGTACTCGTAAAATGACTCAGAGCAAAGGTGTCTAAATAATTTAAAAGCTTTCTTAAATGCATTTTTTCAGACTACCTTTAAGATTACCATAAAGACCATAAAACCACAAATACAGACGTGACTTTGGGGCCATTTGGTCACGACAGGATGGATGTACTGTTGACTTGGAGCTCAAGTACAGACCAGTCAATGCAGAAATATCAGAATTCACAGAAACAGAAACAATACCAGTTCTTTCAATAGAGTCAAAGGAGCTTGCAAAGAAAAGCGTCTGGACTTCTTTAAGTTGCTTGAAGACGTCTTCACAGACATATTCTTTCAATAGACCTACTTCATTTTATTACACACAAAGACAGAGGTTATACACAAATAAACAGTTGCAAAATCAAAATGGCGAAATATAACAGATCTAAAGACTGATCTGGATTACTCAGAAAGAAAAGAACAAAGAAAATCAAAGACACAACGATGATTTAACGCCCACATTTCATGTCCGCTTCACTTCTCTACTCTAAGCCCATACATGGCATATAAACAAAAGCGATGCACTTACTTCCTAGAACTACTTTCTCTACTGACACCATTTTCTACGTCTGGGTACGGTTTTAGATTTAATATGTAATAACTTGCTCTATAACATGTTAATTAAATGAACCGTTAATTAATATACCAAAAACAAAACAGAACAAACACATCAAAATTATTAATACAACATTTTATCAACGTCTCTTTAAAATTGACAACAAATGCCTGCAGAGCCTGTTACAAGTATTTTCTTACAGTGTGCATTGAATCGGAAAAACAAACAAAACTAAAGTCAATGAAGAATTAAACTCACAAGATTATTTAAGTACACTTTGCTGTGCTCATTATCAGCTCTGCATTTAAGTAAATTGACTTGGTGTGATGATTTATCACACAGTGACCCTTTATGCAGCACCTCTGTTCATCCTCTGCCTGAAAACACATTTAGGTCACGTGTCAAGTCTTTAAGTTCAAATAATGATCATTTGGGACTCTGCCGGGTCCAACAGAGCCAATGGCTAGTAACAAAGTTTATCGGGAAGTTGACTGCGTGTGAGTGTGCGAATGACTTATTTGTTTCTGAAAATTCTGCATGATAAACACTTAAATCTTGTTTTTTCTTAATTGTTTTAATGTCTATACAACTTCTTGGTCTTCATTGCCATCTGCTGGATAGTTTGTACAACTACAACTAGTGATGATGACAGTAATAAGCAAGAAGCACTCAGGGAGCCCAAACTTAAGCCAAGGCAGCTCAGTCCCTGGGCAACATTTACTTTCAAGGGGATAGCGTTGTATTTTGTGTATGTCCATTTCGTTGTCTTTCTGCTTTTTACACATACTTTAAAATTTAAAGTGTGGTAAAAATAACAGATTTTGGGGTCAACTTGAAAGAAAGACTGATGTGAAATGTAAAAGTGAGGTCAGAGGTCAAGTGTGAAATATTGAGAGACTTTATAAAATCATTCCCAATATTTGCTATTTGTTATCAGTACAAACAACAGCAGTAAGAAACATAGTTTAAATAGCATTATTATCACTATGACCTTCAGATCAATCTACTGACATGTTGACCTCCTGAATTTTGAGCGTCACATACTTGCCCGTCTGTCTTTTCTCTAAAAAAGCAGCTTCATCTTCTTCCTGAGCTTTTCTTCTGCAGCGACATAGAGGAATGGGTTGATGCAGCTGTGCAGCAGAGCCAGGCAGTGGGTTGCAACCAAGGCTGTGTTTAACGACCTCCTGGTATCACAGTCATGCTGTACCAAATCAGCCCTCAGCAGTATGTCTATCACCATGGTTATCTGGTATGGTGTCCAGAGGAGCAGAAACGCAACCACGATGGTTACGATCACCCGCATGGCTCGGTGCTTCTGGAAACCGTGAGTGAGCAGCAGCCGTGAAACAGTGATGCTGTAGCAGGAGATCATGACAATCGCAGGGACCAAAAAGCCAAAAACACGAATGAACCCCTGAATCGCGAGCCTCCATGCGGTAGAGATGTCAAAGCGAATGGAAAGAGTAGACAGAGCAAGGGCACAACCGAGAACCCACACCACTGTGCAGAGGATCCTGCTGCACATCTTTTGGTGACTCTTCAGTGTCTCCCTGGCGCCCACAATCACAAGGTAACGATCGATGCTAATGCAGGTGAGGAAGATGATGCTGGTGTAGAAGTTCGCATCCATGACGATGTGGAGGAGTTGGCAAAGGAAGTCTCCTAAGAGCCATCCTCGAGTTAGTGCTGCAACACAGAACTGAAGCGTTAAAGCCAGCAGTCCATCTGCTATGGTCAGTTGGAACAGGTACACATCTGATGGAGCCAAAATTTCTTGGCTGGTTCTGATCACCCATCCTGCCAGCAGGTTTCCGAATATGGCCAATACAGAGATGACTGTGAAGATGACGCACAGGATCACAACTGCTGTAGGTTCCAAAGGTTCATATCCACATTCTAAGGTATCTGGATCTGGAGAGAATGATTCTCTGGATTCGTTGTAATCATAGGAATAATTGTTCCGAAAGAAATCATCTTCAAAGACATAGACAAATGACATGGCTGTGGACAGAAAACAATGATATTTTAACCATAGCAATGAAAGCAACGGTTTAGCCAAAAGTAAATATACAAAAAACAAAAATCAAACAAACAGGAAGTGTATGCACAAAAATAAAGGGATGACAACACCAACTTTGGATCTTTTCCTGAAAATGATGAAGACTTGACTGGAAGTCAGGCACAAGACATCGCAGCTCCTTTTTCATTTTGATGTTTTCATTTGCTTTGAAGTTTCTGATAGATGCTGATCAAACAATTTTAGGACCATGAACAGCACACACTGTTTTCAATGTGATCGCATGAGCTGTGCTCTAACACCCGTTTTACTGGTGAACCTACAAAATTCAGCTGCATGAGCTTTGACAATACGTGAGACATAGATTGAGCAGTTTAGTACATCTGGCCCCAAGTCTAATTGTTTGTCTAACCCTCAAAAAGACACAAAACCAAGATGCTGATTTTGATGGACCCCAAATTCTAACACACATCAACACTATCATGGCTTAGGTGGGCATTTGGTGATGCCAGGAGGAGTAAAAAGAAGACAGGTGACAAGGCCCTGCTTACCTACTCACCTGTGTGCAGCAGACTATCGAAAATCCAAAAAGGACACAAGAAAATCAGCAAAGAGGACAAAAGCACAATAAACCCTGATTTCTCTGTGACGTCCCTTTTTGTGTTACACCAAGTAGAATTCGTGCAGATAGCAACAGCTTTGCAAACACATTTCCTGTTTCTGCCAAATGTGTGAATCAGGTAAGACCGAGGAACCAACCGTGAAACTAAGTTACAAAAATATTGCTAAGTTACAACATACAAAATCTAAACTGTGAGGAACTCCAAACCAAACTAACTGCACTGAAAAAAATAATCAGTGGGATAAACATAAAAAAATCATTGTAAGCGGTTGCACGAAATTAAGTTATGTTTG